GTACACAAGACAGGGGAGATTACACAGCCTTGGGGCGCACTGGTGTTCGTGAATGTTAGGTCGGATTTTACACCATTTAATTTTACATATTGAGGTCGATTGGTTAAGAACTCAAGAATCCAAGCTATGATGTTCTTGTTTATGTTCATGTTAATCAATTTTAAAACCAAATAATCGATGCTTTTACACATAACACTTAAAAAATGAGCACTTGCTGATTGAGTGACGTATACAAATCAGCTAGCTTGTTGGATATCTCGTTTGTAAAGTGAGATTTGTATAATACGACTGAGGATTTCTTTTTTTTTCTTTTACAGTTCAAATTGTTTCTTAGAAACAGGGGAGGGGGTAGAGGGGGGGGGGGTAGTTTGTTGATGTAAGAGGAATGGTATGCTGCTTACCAAAGAGACTCTCTCTCTCTCTCTCTCTCTCTCTCTGTCTCTCTCTCTCTCTCTCTCTCTCTCTCTCTCCCCCTCTCTCTCTCTCTCTGTGCTTGTATGTCTTTTTTCCTTGAATTTGGGACCAAAGATAGTAATCTCTCTCTTTCTATCTCAATATCCCTCTCTCTCTTGCTCTTATCAGCCTGCACCTTTTTAACTGCACACGATAGTGGTTAAGGTGTCGATAAAGTTCTATTTTCCTCAAACAAAGTACACATTGCAAACGTGGCACTGGCAGTCTGTGAAAAAAATTAGTGAAGGAAACGAGAGAAAAAGTATTTCAAGAAAAGATTTACGTGTATTTACCGACTATGTCAGGGGCGAAGTCTCCAGGAACTCTGTAAAGAACTTCTAAGATAATCTCAAGTATACCAAGTAAACAATGAGATAAAAAAGAGAAAGTGGGACAGGCTGCCAATCGATCGGCTATAGATACGCCCTGAATAGATTTACGGCAGTCTCAGAGCTGTCTGAAGGCAATAAGAAATAACTATAGCAGTTTTCTAAAACAGAAAAATTTGTGAAAAGTTTATTGTCGCCCTTTGTTGAACTTTGAGTGATCGGAAAAAAAACCCGCACCCCACCTATGTTCGTGAACAGTCTTGTGCAGATCCTGTACACCAAAGGGGAAGGAGAAAACAAGAAAAGGTCGGAGCGGGGGGGAGGTGGTGCAGGGGGAGGGAGGGGGGAAGTGTTTTAAAGAGCTGTCTACTTCTTTTGAAAACGTAACCGCGTACCGTCTAAAAGGGCAAGAGGCGCGGTGCAGATCTATCAACCGCTGTCTCTATGCAGGGGGTGAATTCTCTGCCACGAGTGTTCTATACCTGCGCGATGTTCATACACTCCCGCGCAGACCTGCTGTGGAAAATGGAATCTGAATTGAGTCTTTGAAAACGTATGATCTCACAATACTTTCTCATGATCGTTTCACAAATGTTAAGAAATCTACAGCTTAGCCAGTTTCTCTCCAGGTGAAATAGATCATTTTATATCAAAGTTTAAAATTATTTTTTGTGCAGGGGTTCAAGAACATGTATCATTTAACTATTTGGTGTTTGCCAAAGCGTGTCAGAAATTGAGAGCCCCGATGCGGCTGTCTTAGCTCATGAAAACAGCGTGAAGTGTCAGCTAAGTACTTTGGTCTTCATGTCGAGTGTATGTTGATGTCAGCTGACAGACTGTTCAATACACTTAAAGATAAAATAGACTGTTAAACACAAACTCGACGCACAAACACACACACACACACACGCACATAACACATTGTAAATAGATTCACAGCGTCCCTGTATTCATTCTCATTTGTTGTTATAAGGCCTTGTAAAGTGGAATCATCCGCAAATTTTATTAGTTTAATGTTTTTGTTATCAAAAGTACAGTCGTTGGTGTAGAGCGTACACAAGACAGGGGAGATTACACAGCCTTGGGGCGCACTGGTGTTCGTGAATGTTAGGTCGGATTTTACACCATTTAATTTTACATATTGAGGTCGATTGGTTAAGAACTCAAGAATCCAAGCTATGATGTTCTTGTTTATGTTCATGTTAATCAATTTTAAAACCAAATAATCGATGCTTTTACACATAACACTTAAAAAATGAGCACTTGCTGATTGAGTGACGTATACAAATCAGCTAGCTTGTTGGATATCTCGTTTGTAAAGTGAGATTTGTATAATACGACTGAGGATTTCTTTTTTTTTCTTTTACAGTTCAAATTGTTTCTTAGAAACAGGGGAGGGGGTAGAGGG